CCTGATCCCTATTCATTGTGTTCAACATTTACCCCCAAATGTCAGTGAGATTCTGGAAAATAAAATACTTGGGAGACAGGAGAAACAGAGCTCTTGGTGATATCTGTATAGTAGAATATTTTTTCCATCCATATGCAAATCTAACCTTTTTGATATTTCAACCCTATAAACCCTAAGACAGGATTTCAATAGAAAATGTTTACTAAAGGCTTTCTCCTTTATAATCTATTGATTTTAATATCCTTACTATTCCTGTTGAATGTCAGTTTTACCCTGAAGACTCCCACTGCAAACTTGAACACATTTAATTATTTATACCATTTGAAATATTAGTGCTGAGAAATTGCTAAAAGTTTTTGGTTCTGTAATAGTATGTTCTAAAGTTTTATTTTCCTTTGTGAATAACACATGTAATTTGATATGGTAATCAAGAACAAATGAATACTTCAGACAACACAGTGCAGTTTTAATAGTAATGACATCTATTTTTCATTTTTCCAGCCTCCTTGTATGTTAAAATATAGCTCATCAAGTAGTGCAGGATCTCTCAGTCTTTTTTCACAGCAAACAGCTTAGCATTATGTTTTCTTTCTTCTGTCAGCTGCATGAACAAGAAATTTGCTTCCACCAGTGGCAGTCAGCACTTAGGTAATGTGCAACTGAGGGCAGATTTGCCTCTTGGTGGGGGTCCAGCAGTCTTCTTTGCCTTACTCATATCACTCACTGTATTCACAAGGGCAAAATTTGGATCTCAAAGAAATTGTCTCTGATACAAATATCATTTGTACAGAAGAATCTATGTGAGAACCTATTAAAGGTAAGACTTAGATAGCAGGCAAACCGAATCAGGGGATTTGAAAAAAATCCCTCAGCACTTGGAAGGTCAGTTCTTCCACAGAGCTGTGTTTTTTATGCCCACCATCCACCCAAGGCCAGTATGGCTGAGCTCACCCTGTCTGGCCAGGCCATGGGCACGCTCGAGTTCCCATACTTGCCCCTTGTCCAGAATACTTCCAGAGGCTTCAGTGGCAGTTTGTATCAGACCCCAGTTTTCCAAGGGGATTAAACCTCTAAGCATAAGTCCCTCCTAGGTCTAGCACTCCAGCAGTATTTGAGCATTATCATCCCATGTATCTTGGCAAAAGTGTTTAGAGTTCTGGCAGTCTGTATCTTTCTATTTTCTTCAACTCTGTCCCCCTGCCCCAAGCTGCTGTTTCTCTGCCATGACATGACCAGAACAATTGCACACACCTCTATTAATTGCACTGAATTTCTCTTTCACAAGGAAAGTTTCTACTCCTCTTTTTCCTTCATCTTCAGAATTTTTTCCTTTTTCTTCTACCAACCTGATAGCTGTTCAGAAGCTGCCAAGATGTACTTGTCTCTTGTATTTACTCCAGATGGAGACTTTTATTTTCGCTTATATCTGGCAGTAGGAACTCTGGTATCACCAAACACAACTTTTTTTCTGAGGTTGTTTTGATAGAACAAAAGAACTGTTCCTTTTTTGTAAGGTTTATAAGCTATTTCTGATGCAGATAGCAAAGTCTAGCCTGTATCCTGACAGTCAGTAATGTGTACAATAGCCATAAATAGTTGGATTTTTCTGGTTTATAGCCCATCAAGGAAAGACCATCTGGATATGTATCTTTCAGTAGTCTAGAATTAATGTTTAAAAGTAAAGCTAGAAAACTGTTGGAATGAAATCTCTGATTCTAAACTGTGCAGGGGTAAATGTACTCTCTTATTTCACCATATCTGTCCTGTGTGCATTGGAGATGTTTGTAACCAGTTTGGGTTTCATAGAAGAATTGACAACCAGTCCAAAGGCTCTAAATAGGCAGAAATGCTGTCACTTATTTCATTGCACAGGACTAGGTCAAGCCAAATAGCTGCTCTGGTGTGTGCTAGAGGGGAAGACAGGGTGCTGTGGGTGTAAGTAAGGAACCTAACACCATACCCAGCTCTGCCACGGGGCCAGCTTTCAGGGCCAGAATATTGAAGGCTCTGAAATTAATGCTGAACTGCAAAAATCAATCCTCAGGGTATCAAATCTCTTATAGGGTGGAGCCATGCAACTCTCACTTCTTATTTTTCTCCATCTTCAAAACTAAACTGCTCCTTTTCCTTCTTTCTGTTTTACTTTGGAATATCCATTTGGAAATTTAGGGCAATGTGATAGCCTGGAAATGACCTCTCAGACACTGTTTCTCATCGTTTTCCAGCACTCTACATGTATTGACATACGTCACTCCTTTCCTTCTGTTGGTTTCACTGGTTTCCTTTTAAGCCACACATTCAAGACAAAAAAATGTTTGCCTGACTTATTTTAGCTAAGAGGCTTCCTATTTAATGTATTTGCTGTTCTTTAATGTCCCAGGTCCCTCCTTGAGATCAGCAAATGCCGAATTTCTTATCATCCTTAAATGTTATCTGAAGTCATGTCGTTATTTTGCCTTTAGTGAGTGTCTTTGCTCTCTGGCTTTGGAACCTACTGCCAAATGAAGTAAAGAAAGCTCTGACTGTGGGGATTTCTAAATCCAAAGTTAAGAGTTATTTGTTCTGTTTAGCATTTTTTAAATGATTCTTTTAGGAATTGTATGTGCCTCTGAGCTAATTAACTCTTAATGAGCACAAAATGCCCTGGGATGCAGATTTGGAGGGTAAGCTAGAAATGCAGGCATGGATTGGACTGCAGTACTGCAGAAGATGAAATTTATGATTTGATTCTTTTTTTGAATGATGGTGCAGATATTTTTCTTGAGATATTCTTCCCCCCCCTGATTCTTTTAGGAATTGTATGTGCCTCTGAGCTAATTAACTCTTAATGAGCACAAAATGCCCTGGGATGCAGATTTGGAGGGTAAGCTAGAAATGCAGGCATGGATTGGACTGCAGTACTGCAGAAGATGAAATTTATGATTTGATTCTTTTTTTGAATGATGGTGCAGATATTTTTCTTGAGATATTCTTCCCCCCCCCCCCCAAGATTTTCTGTCCACCATATGGGGCCCAGTTATATCAGTCCTGCAAATACACTTTAGTTTTCCATTATGGATAAAGTCACCCTTCAGTAGGGAAAACAAGTAGAGAAACAAACTTCCATATTATGAAAGACAGGCAGTGTTCCAACACTGAGCACTAAACCAGAGCACTGGGAAATCAGAACACCTGGCTGTGCCCAGCTCTGTGCTATTCCCCTGGACCAGTCCCTCACTCTTTTAGTGCCTTCACTTATTCATCTGTAAAGTGACTATAATTGCATTTATATCACAAGGGTGCCTTGATGCTTGACAAATGAGAATTGACCCAAAATTCATCCTTTTGGAAGCACTATACCTTGCTCACATGGTAGTTGTGGACAATTAGATTAGAAGAGGTATAAATGCAGTGAAAGTGAAATTCCATTTAGGAATTATCAAACTGTTCTTGATAATTTTTCTTAGTTTTCATCTAATTCTAGTGTATCATTTTGCCTGCATCTCCCAGAAAGGGTTTATATGACTCTTTCCTTCTTTTGCAACAAGTCAGGGTATTTTATTCCATGTTATTTTAAACTGTCTGTTTGGGCAAATGGTTTGCTCCCAGAATAATACCTTAGAAAGCTGCATTTAGCAAAACAAAGAAAAATTATTGTGTCAAGGAAATCCTATCCTTTATGTATTTGAGCAAATTGCAATCACAAGGATTGTACACAGAAAAAGATATTCCAGGTTTTATGAAAAGGGATTTGCCTAACTGTTGCTATGTTTTATTTAATTAGATTTTTTTTTGTATTTGCTAGAATAATATTTTGAAATTAAGCTGAATTTCCTCAACATACTGTAGAAACATATGGTGTACAGCCTGCAGAGGCACTTAATGGCAGTAAGTGGTACTGGTATTTGTGAATTAGAACCTGCTTTCCCCTGAAAAACAGCTCTGTTCTCCCAATTTAAAATACTGTGTTTTCACCAACATGTTTTCATCACCATTACCAGTCTGGGAAGTGAAAGAATGGATATGATCTTCTTAAATACATTTCCTTATTTCCAAACGGCTGTGGATGCTTCAGGATGAGGGAGGTGGTGTATTGGACTCAGCCTCTCTTCCATGTGTGCCATCAACCCACTCAAAGAAACCAATGTAATCAAGGGGGGCAGTTTTAGCAGGACCTCCTCCCAGGCAGCATATCCCAACATCAGAAGAAAAACTGGAATTGTTGCTTGGTCTAGCCACTTTTCCTAACAAAGGTGCTATCATCTGGGGCTAACCAGATTTCAGGGTGCCAGGAGGTCTCTGCCAGCATTCCAGGGTAAGCTCCAGCCCCTGGGAACTGCTCCCAGGAGGAGGTGCAGTTACAGCTTGGTTCCCCACAAGAAATCATATGGCTCAGGAAAATAAAACTCTTTGGATGTTACTTTTTAATGTTCAGACTTGCAAAGCACTTTAAGAACAACTCATGCTTACAAGGAGTGTTCCACTGGCTTATCTCTAACGTATGCTCGGAAGACTCAGTGCCAAGCAAAGTGCAGAGATTAGGTAAATGAAAAGATCCTAAACATTGCAGCAGTGAATCATTCCAAGTAGTAGTGTTCTCGGGAGCACCAGAGCTGGTTTAGGTCGGCATTCATCCATACACAGCTTGCAGAATTCACTTTTTAGACCTTTTAACCTCTGTACTTTAGTAACTGGCTTCCCAAGCTTTTCCTGGTGACTGCCCCACTCATACCCCTTAGACCAGTGTCTAAGAGACTGGAAAAATGGTCAGCCTTGAAATCTTCTCCCTTTGCCCCTAATCCCAGTCAATATGGGTCTCAGCTTTAATGCTGTTAATTTGGCCATTTCTGAGGGTGATGTAGGTAGTCAAAGGAGAGATAGTCACTGTATCTTTGCTCAGGTAGGTGGTGTCTAATTCGAAAAGGGACCTCTCAGCAACTGACAGCAGGTGACTGATCTGCAGAAACGCCAGGTGCCTCAATCAAAGAAGTGAAAAAATTCTTTCTGACTGTGTCTTTCAGGATTTTGCCGACTCCATATACCAAATGGTTGCACAGAAGTTCCAGGAACTGACAGACAATTTCACTTCCATGCATGCACGCCACAAAACTCTTGCAGGCATTGTGATGACCAAAGGTAAGCTATCCTCTCATTTATTTTTCTCTGCCATTTTTCATGACTAAGTAATACATTATTTACCTGGTCCACAATATTGAAGGATGACTTTACTCCCACATGGAAAAATAAATAGCAATGCAGTGAAAAGAAGCATTAAATATTTACATCTCAAGTAAGTTCACAGAAAAAATATTGGCAACAGAGTTAAAGATTTATTCGTAAATATGTCCCTGCGTTGTTTTGTTTACTGGACAAAATGCAGACCTCTCTGATTCTGTATTTCCTTATAGACAGGGCGGTTTAGTTATGGATAAAAGTGGTGTAATTTATTAAATGCTTTCTTATGTCTGGAAACACCAAGTTCTTGTTGTACAAGGCTATCATAAACCTTGTTTTAGATTGACAACAGAAGCAAATCTCAGTCTTCTCCTTTCCAGTCAAAAGAACCAAACCCAGAGCATGCATAATCTTAGCTCTGTTCTGCCCATGGGAAATACCTGTCAGCAGGGCCAAAATTTGCTATTCACTCCTGTTGAGACTTCACTGATGGACACATACTACGTGGAAATCTTTAGTGCTTTGATGAAACTGTTGCATAGATGGACTTTCTTTCTTTGCAAGCACATCTCAGTTGAGGCACCTTGGTATTTATGAGGATGTCAGCAGTGGAGATGCTTCCATAAACTTCATTCTCACTCAGACCCATAGAGCAGTGGATTGGGTATAGAAATGGGAGGATAGAGGGGAAAGGCATGTATAATTCATCCAGCCTTTCTTACTCCTTCCTTTCAACAATTACATTAGCTAGATTCAACAGGGATGGTTGTGAATATTGCAAGACAGCAGGATGGAGACAGGGTTTTCTGATGGATCTTTTCCAACAAAAGGACCTAAACACGGCTGAGAGTTCTGTGCTGAGCAACTTATTCTTCTCCTTTCTGATGTGAAAAGAATAAGTTGTTCTTTCCTGACATTAGGAGGTGAGAAGTTGACCTAAAATTCTTTTAGACCTCTGGTTGAAACTGAATTGCGCCTCAGCTAAATTCGCTATAGTTTTTCTGAATCTGCCTTTTATCTAGGATATGGATGTCTTCCAAATTTTACGTGCTGCACAGACAGTGTCGTACAAGCACAAAACATGGTTTGTAAGTCCTACAGACCACAGCAGTCATATTCAGTATGAAGAAAAATAAAAGGAAGAGTGTGATTGCTTTTGGGGTGTGAAAGATGCACACTGGACCCAGCATACCAACTGCCTCGTCATAGTCAGGTGTCTTGACTGTGGCACTCACTAGATTTAAACAAAGTACTGTAGTTTATTTAAATGAGCTCTTTCCAAGCACAACCACAAGGAAGAATGTTTAAAAATACTTTTTACAAAAAACTAAGTTACAGGAGCCAAGAACTGTTGGGTTTACTACATTTCGGGGGGCAGGGGGTGTCTGTACTCAGGTCAGCGTCCCCGTTCAGTTTTCCTACACTCAGTGTGAGAATTGTGAGAATTGTCTGTAGGAATTTCATCCCGTTCCTACCTTGCTGAAGAACTACTCCTGCATTCTCTAGCCCAGATCTGGACCAGCTTTATAGAGCACTGCATCCTTACCCAAAGAGGCAGATTAAAACTCCACATAATATGAGAGGAGTGGTCACCAAAAGCAGTCAAACTTTCAAAAATCATACCTGCTAAGTGTGTGCTATGGGGAGGGAAACAGCACTTCCAGACCCCTGTTAGCCTTGCTGGGTAGTTGGAGCTGTCTGTGTCTCTTCTTTGGAGAAGGGTTGAAAACATCCTCATGCTCTCTGTTTTTTTCAATGAATCCCATGCCCTTAGTGGGGTTTTACACATTTGTGTTTCACATTTCATCTTTGTCAGCATTAAGACAAAGTATAATTTTACTTATATTCACAAATCATTTCCCTCATGGCTTTGTTTTTAGTTCTGAATTCTCTTTCATGAATTTGTTCAATCTGTCAGAGATACAATTTGTCAGTATCTTCCTTGTTTTGTGGAGCACAGAAAAGAAACTTGCAGATATAAAGTGATTCACAGAAGATGCAAAGCTAGAAACAGCCTTTTCTTAGTACATTCTCCAGGAAGATCTGAGTTCTTTCCAGCACAAGAATCTCAGCCAACCATGGCAAGATGAATCATTTGCCATTTGTGTCATTATTTTCTGTATTGAAGTTGAAGATTTCTGGTCTGTTCCTAACCATCATTCCCAGAAGTAGCAAGGACCTTGACAGACTCTTTTCAAAGATGGCACAGACAGGTTTTCCATATCAAACACTGAAATGAATACCAATTCCCTGAGTTTTTAACATAAAATTTGGCAGAAACCCTCTTAGATCTCTGCAAACAATTTGCTAATGATACAAACAAAAACAAATCTGGTAATGTCACGTTGCATTCTGTATCATACACACCCATAACAGACAAAAATTGATTTGTTTTTACCTTCATTTCAACTTAATGTCATCCAGACTAGAAGCAGATTTATCTGTGCTTGTACAGTTTTCAGGCAGAGCTGGTAAAAAGCACAATGTGATTCTGTGATAACTGCTGTTAAGATAATGCAAAATCTCTACAGACGAAACAGAAGTTTGCAAGATTGGCTTTCTTTTTCTGAACTCTGACATTTTTTTTCTGTCATTTCAATTTCCCAGGGAAACCAAAGAGAGTTACATTTGGGCACTGTAATTGACTTATGCTGTGGCACCCAGGGCAAATTCCAAAGTATAAGAAAGAAAAAAGTGTAGAAAATGATGCTATTTACTGGCTGTGAATTTTCTGCAGTAATAAATTGCTAGTCAGAAAAACAGGCAGTCAATGTATTTAGAAATGCTTTGCTCTGAATTGTGATGACAATTAAAATCTCCAAGCATTTTTGTGAAAGTATTTTTCAAAACATTTGATTAGTGGGCATAAAGCTAATCTCAGAAAAATCTGCCTAGATACCAGATGATGTGATCTTATCTCATGTAATATAATAATTGAGTATAATAAGAATTTAAAAACTCACATAACAGATCCTGAACTAAATGTTTCAAAAAGATGAAGTAAATTATTGTTAAATGAATCAAGTTATTATAAAAGTTGAAGCAAATTGCTTAATAGTTCTTCAGTTATAATATATTTGAAATATGCCAGTACTCTAACACATTCTAATTTTGTTGAAACACACTCAGAGTAGATTGTTCTATCAAAGATTTTTTGATTGACTCTAGGAAAAATTGTTTAACAAGTAAGACAGTGTATTCAAATCTTCCACATACAGCAAGATATCATCCAAATAATATCTTCAAGTAGAGCAGTAAGCATACTTGTTTTGGTAGCATAGTATTAATATGAGGACCTGATTCTTCCTGCACACAGAGAACAGTAGTTCTCCTGATTTCTCTGAAGATATGATGGGTTCACGTGTGGTAAATTAAGACTATGAGTTCACCTGTGTGAAAGACAGTCTGAATAACACCATGTCAAACCCAAATCATCACCTCAGAACAGATACATCCAGGCATGTGATGCATGGAGTTAAGTTCCCTCATAGTGTTATGTGTTTGTGACTAAAACACAGCTGATAACACCGAAGTTCTGGCTATTGCTGGACTGACCTTGCAAAAAGTGCCAAGACTTTATCTCCCTCTCCTATCCCCATCCCCACTGAGTAAGCTGGAGCTAGGCAAGAGTCTGGGAAGGGACATAGCCAGGACAGCTTTCCTCAGCTGATGGAGGGAGCATTTCTTGCCACAGGACACCATGGTCATCAATAAAAGTTCAGGGAAAGAAGGAAAAGGGAACGACAATTGGGTTTATGGCATTTGTCTTGCCAAGCCACCGTGAACTACCATTGCCTCAAACCATTAGTCTTCTTGCCTTCTTTCTATTTTGTCCCAGTCCCACAGGAGAGTGGAGTGAGCAAGAGGTTGGGTGGGTATTTGGTTGTTGGCCAGGACCAACCAATATTTCATTTCAGGGTGTGCAGCAACAATAGCTGTTTCTCGGTGTTTTCTGTTGTCATGGTGACCCACCATCTCCCCCTCCCCCTGTCTCCCAGATGCAGTTTGAACATCTTATTTTGACCCACTGGTCTGCTGCACCTTACTATTGAAAAGTTTGCAGGGAGAAGGGTGGGGGGGGTTGTTTATTATTAATAGTAGTATTATGGTCTATTGAAAAGTTTGCAGAGAGAAGGGTGGGGGGGTTTGTTTATTATTAATAGTAGTATTATGGGTATTAGTATTATTATGTCAGTTGATGCATTTGAAAAAATCAAGGGCAAGCGAGCTAACATTTTATAGCCCAGAGCAACAAATGCAAAACCACAGCAGTCTCACTTAGCTCCAGCACTGATCCCCAGTCACAGATTCTCCAGGTGACAGGAGGCCAAGGAGCCGCTTACCGCGCTCGGCCAAGAGTGTGGTGGCACCACGGGTCACCCGGCAGGGCGAGCACCAGAGAGGGTGGGCAGTGCTGCCTGTCCCCCAGAGCTGGGACAGGGCAGGAGGTGTGAGCTGCACACTGAGTGCTGCACTCTGGAGACTGGTGCCATTTGCACTGTTTATTGACACCATGGATGGACTTTGTGAGCTCTGAACAGTAAGGGCATACACTTGTGCTCTCCCTGAAAACACTAGGTGCAGTAAAGAATTCCTGTCCCTCAGTGTAGAGATGATCTGTTATTGCTGAGGTCCTCTTTGCAAAAAAAAACCAAAAAACCGACCTCCCATAACCATTAAGGACAAAAGGAAACTGCTATTTAAACATTATTTTCCCATTTGTGTTTGACAAATCTTAGCCGTTTAAATACTGATAGGAACTTTTTGCCATGCTTTCTGTTAAAAATGAAGCATTAAGGAAGCTCAGTCCTTTTCATGGGAGCATGGCATTCATAGAAAAAGGTTATGAGTTGATTTCTCACTTCAATTTTCTCTCATATATATATTTATTTTTTTAGGCTGACAATCATTTTGATGCTAAAAGCAAATTAGGAGAGCTTCTCAGTTATCTTGTATGAAAT